CCCCCAGCACCAAAGCCCTCAAGGTATCGATACTGATTGTTCCGGTGGCTGTCTGATGATGGCGACGTCTTTCCTTTCCAGATAATCGTTCCTTTCTTCGAATGCAGTTCTGTGAATATCTTGATAACATCTCCGGATGATCTAACGATTTTGACAGAGCAGACGTAGAACATAAGGTTTTTGACCTCGTGGTTGACCTGACGGGATGTCCCTCCTACGGTCACTCGCCTTGCTGCAGACAGACGCCTGAGTCTCCCCGCGACACCCACCGGTACAAGCGGAAGAAAAAAGTAAGTAAGTAAGGTTTTACTACCTCAAAACGGCCAAAAATGCCACATAAAACTTTGTAATACTGAGGTAGGGTTTTGTCTTCTGCTTTCATTCATTGATAATATATTATTGCTTTAAAAAGATTATTTGTCCACTGATCATTAATCTAGTGTTTATACAGATTTGCCCGCAACCTTAACGAGTTTATTGTTTCGTTTTAGTGGAGGTATTACGGCGCTCGCAACTGCATAAGGCCATATGAGCGCCAACGAGTTTATTGTGTTGCAATAACCGTAAAATGCTCACTAAAACAACAACAATAAAAACAACATAACAAAACAAAAACTCAAGGCAAACAAACAAACAAGTAAGTAAAAAAAATAAGCATGTAATATCATAATAAGAACTAGGTCAAATCACTGCATTGCCTCAGTGAAAAACTGGATGAACAAAAACAAATTGATGTTGAATGATGATAAAACAGAAGTCATTCTGGCAGGCAATGCAAAGTCTGTAAATGAGGTTGACCACGTTCACATGACAATTGGTGACGCAGAAATTGCATTTTCAAGAAAAGTTAAGAACCTTGGCATCTATCTTGATTCCAATTTGTCAATGTCGGCTGAGATAAATCATCTGATCAGCTGCATGTATTTAGAAATAAGAAAAAATAGTAAAATGCATCATCTAATCAATACAAAGTATACTGCTTTACTAGTAACTAGCTTACTTTTATCAAGACTCGATTATTGCAACTCCTTGTTATCAGGAATATCACCGGAGAAAGTAAAAAGATTTCAAACTGTCCAAAACAATGCTGCCCGTTTAGTTTTACAGAAAAAAAGCGAGACTCTGCTAAACCTCTTTTATGGACATTGCATTGGCTTTCTGTTGAGAAAAGAATTGTGTACAAGTTGGCCACCCTATGTCACGGCTTGAACGATAGTGTGCCATCATATTTATCAAATCTGTTAAGACTGTGTATTCCAAGTCGCAGTTTAAGGTCATCAGCTGACAAAAAGAAATTTCTTTTGCCATCTATGAAACTTAAAACAATGGGTGAAAGCGCATTGGAATATCTAGGCTCCAAGATCTGGAATGCTTTACGAAGTACTTTAATTAAGAGAGATCAAATCTTTTGATTCATTCAAATGTTAGCTGAAGTCATTTCTGATTTTAAATTAGTAAGATGAATATTTTGGAGTGATTTTCTTTTAGTCAGAACACAACGTTTTTATGTCACTGTTGCACGTTGTACTGTATTGTAAAGCGATCAGAGCCGTGCACTCTAATCGGGGTTGAGCGCTATGGTAATGTGAGTCGTGCTGACAAAATGAGTTACTTCTCGCAATCCACGAAAGGAGATGAAGGTCGAAAATACACACATCAAATTTGTAAGTTCTAAAGTGATACATTTTCCTTCAGGTTTAATGCTTTTTCAGGGTTCCTATTTTCTTTCATTACTGCCCATTTCTGCCACGTTGCAGTGAGTCTCATATCCTCATTGGTTTTATTGGTTCATATGCAAAATTATATCAACCAAAACTTTAACTTTGATATAATATATCTGTGTCTATAAGACCAGAATTCGAAAAAATAAAGTAACTCATTTTGTCAGCATCCTTTACAAATGTCATTTATCATCATCACTCTTGATCGAAGACATACGAGGTGCTGAAGACTTTGCTGGGGTCAAAGGTGACACCGTCGTTGACGCACTCCATGTGGCGGAAAGTCTTCCCCTGATTGTCCACATGCAAGATGGCGCCGTTGATGACGTCACAACGGAGCAGTTGTAGAAGGGCTTCTCCAATTGTCTGTGGTCTAGGGGAATGATGATGATGATGATGATGATGATGACGATGATGATGATGATGATGATGATGATGATGATGATGATGATGATGATGATGTCATTTATATTGTGAATGTTCCCGAGGAAGCCCGTTGAGGGCGAAACATTAAACTTGTGATAAAATATTTTTGGAAATACTACCACGTCTTAACTGTTTTAATATCTGCTTTATACAATGATGATGATGATGATGATGATGATGATGATGATGATGATGATGAT